TCATCGAGGAATTGACAGCGTTCTTTCGTCACAGATTCCTTAGGGCCAAGAGCTGTAAAGCTTGGGCTACTGAACGATGAAGCTTTCGACGATCTGCCAACAATTCATCGCCAACAGAGTCCGGTCGTTTCCTTAATCTTGTTCCATGTCCGACGATTCACACCGCCCGACTTTAGTTCATGAACACTCACCTCTGCGATAGGGTGCTGTAACACGAAAACCGTTGAAACCGACTCCCGTTCCACGAATGCGACACTCCCGTCGACCGTCCGAAAGCCGAAAGGCCAACCATCTCGCATTCTACTCTCAAAGTGGTCCTCCGTGATAACCACCTACCGGAGCCCCAAGCCACAATTCTCGACATCCTATCCCGCTCCGCACTCGGGCCAACCGGCTTCGGCTGAACGGCGAGCTACTCTACCCCAAATGCTCGCGTGCCCGTCTCCGACATCTTCCCTTCTCCAACTAGGCTGCTCCCTGGCATCTTCACACAGACTCTCGGTCCACATTCGGAAAGAAGGCGGACATGTCTCGTCAAATCTCCCAAAACAATCCCATCCCAGAGCAATGGTATTTGTGGAAAAGTCAAAACGAGGCCATTATCAGTATCGGATGATTTAAGACATCCTGTCATGTCAAATAAGTTCGCCTCAGACAATGACAAGAAGACAGTTGGAATTGCGCTGCAGCACCAGCTAGTCAGCCAAGTAACGGAACCCCGTACACTACCCCATACCCCGTAGATCAAGGTCAGCTAGCGCAGGCGACCGAGGAGAGGATGACGCTCTCCTCCCGCAATCCTTCGACCCCAGCTCCACCGTTGGAGCGATCCCCACTGGCGCGCGGCAGTATCACCAAGCCCGCCTTCCGCTGACGCGGGGGAGATGCATCTTTCGAAACCCGTCATCCGTTGAGCTGCAAAGTCGGGCACACTAGGAACAGAAAATCCCATTTGTGTTGAGACGTCCTGTTGCGATGCAAGGCAGACTGCTGCGCTTCAGCGTGGCAGCTCCTTCATGCAAGGACAGGGCGAGACCTATCCACTCCTTCAGGCTGCACAGGGTCCAGGGGTGCACCGCGGATCTCGCCCTCCCACAGCTCAGCATGGTCGCTGTCCCGCGGCTCCCTGCCTAAAACACGAGTGTTTCTTACTTTGTACAGCGTTCTGGGGAAGGCTTGATTTCAGGCAAAATGCCACCTTCCTCCCGTGGACATTGCTCTCGCTGCACGGCATCGCGGGTCGAATATATCCTAAGAGAGGTCCGTTCCGAACGCGGCCAAGCAATGTCGATCTTCCTTTTGAATGTAGGTACGGCCACGAGGGTTAGTTGGCTGCCAAGTCTCCGTTCGTGCCTCATTGAGGACATCGGAAGACATTGTCGTACTGAGACATCGTATTTGGGTGTGGCTGCCGACGACGTCGGGTAACGGCACTGTGGCTTGCTGTCATCAGTTGGGCCCTGACATCGTGCGGGTTGTCAAAGAGAAGTCGAGGTAACAGCTTGACGCGGGGTAAATCGGAGATTTGTCCTCGCCATGTCTTTTTCAATCACCTCTCGGGAATGAGATCGGTGTTGGAACTATCCCATGTGCCATGCGCCATGGACGAAAAGATGTCGGAGTGACAGCACAGCAGCATCGTTTCGAACAAGTCTACAGGGGGATCAGGATAAGGCCGTTCGCATTACTCCGTGCCGTCCACGCATATTCTCGCTCTCCAATCGCCTTGCTTCGTAACGGCTTACAATGAGTAAGAAACTACCCCGCGACGATAGGGCCTGACTGACAGAGAATGTTCGCACTTGGGCGATTGAGTGCCGAATGGGATCGACCCGGCCGCATGGCTTCGCCTATCCCTCCCTCTTCAACTGAAGTCCTCCTCGTCATTGGACGCCTCGGCCTCCACTAGTTCGTTTTGGGCAACTTCCATCGATCCGAGATAAGCCACCACGTTTTCGTCTGCGAGAAGTTGTGTTTTCTGCAAGGTTGGGGTAACGAGGCCCATCCCTGTTAGTCTTGGCACCATACAAGCGCGCGGGGGAAGGACAACAAGCACGCAAAAGCAGTTGAGACGGGACTTGGGAAAGATCAAATGCTGGGGCACCGGCAGCGAATCCCCAGAAGGAATGCAGGAGGCTCAAAAGAGGAATAACGCCTTAGGCGGGGAATGGGCAGAGCATCGTATGTTTACACTGCAGCCCTGACACTGACAGCGACGCCAACGACTGAAGAAACTGCGCGAACCACTCACCTGGTCTTCCAAAGTCTTCATAGCGGCTTCCAGCAGGCCGGTCTCTTGCTCCCTTAACGTGGCAGCGGCGGTGATGCACGCCCCGCAAATGAGACCTCCTTCACTGAGCGATGCGTCGAGGTCGTCCAGGGACATGCCCGTGGCCAGCCGTTCCAGCTGGCCGGCGACGAGATCCTGCAAGACGGTAACCACTCTGAGACGAAAGATCTGAGCGAGGGGATGACCGTCAATGTGCTGTTCGAAAGACGTCGTCGTGTCGGTCACATCCTCCTCCTGCCAAAAGACTTTTAGCTCCCGTGATCCCCCGGTGTCCTGCAGCACGCGAAAGTCAAGGCCGTCTTCCTCGTTCAGACACAGGAAGTAGGCGAAAGGGCTCTTCCAGCTGAGCGTCCCATTCGTCCGGTCAAACTCCACACTCGGGGCGCCGCCAAAGATGTGCAGCTTTGCCTTGCCCAGCGGGTCGTCTTCGAGAGGCGCCAGGGGCAGCGTGATGCGGTCGGCGGCAGACGCGGGGTCGATGAACCCATAGCTGAAGAGCATCTCTGCCCCGGATTTCGCGTCACCGTACGAGATTGTCATCTCATCCCCAGACAAGACCCTGCATCCCGGTCGCAGGAGCAGCACCACCTCGTCCTTGCTGTTTTCTTCGTAGTATGCGTTGGCCTGGGCTGAGTGGTTCGCCAGGTCCAGCACCGGGACCATGGCCTCGCCTGACTTAGGGAGCTCCAGGCAGCGGGAGCGGAACCAGGCGTCGACACGGGCCCAGTCGATGAGGGATACCTTGTCGGATTCCCAGAAGAGTTCGTTCCAGAATGGGAGGGCTTCTGAGGTTTCGCGGAGCTCGTCGAATTCGTCGGTCAGAGTGACGATCTTGGCGGCGGTGGCCGACTGGCTGTTTGTCAGAACGTGATCCTTGTATGCCTCAAGTATGCCTAGTCTTCTTCAGCCGCAAGCTTCTTGGCTTGCTGATCGGCATGCTGAGGAAGCATGTGTTTGTGTGTTTGCATGCGTGGCCAGTTACGGCATGGTGTGATGCTCATGAAGAACGGATGTTCAAGACTGGAAAGCCTCATGAGCTTACCTCAAGTGATGTCCCAACCAACATTTCACGTTCCTGCTCAGTCCAGAGCGTCGTAACAGGCACCTGCGGGGGCAGAAACTTGACATACTCGGTCCACGGCGTCGGCACGCCACCCTTCATAGTCGTCTTGGGCCTATCCGACAGCACCATCTGCGTCAAGAGGAACAAGCAAATATCATGCCGTGTAGACTTTTCCCCGCTCAAGCACGTCAGCACAACTGATTCTCATCTTATTCGCCATGAGATTTGAGGTCTGCGCGCCCTAACCTTGTGGCCGCACGCATCAAGCAGCTGGCGGAAGTTCTTGTCCACCTTGGCGTAGCTCTCGACGGCCTCGGCGGAGAGCACCAGCTCGTGCGGTATCCTAAGCAGCGTCGGGATGTCGAACGTCTCCTCCTCGCGGCTGAGCTCCTTGTTCACGAGCAGCCCGAGCCCGCAGCCGGGGATCTCGCGCGCCTCGACGTCGACGAGGTCGACGTCGTTGAACATGGCCCATGTGGGCAGGGTCTCAACGGGGAGTTTTGAGGTTGCCATTGCACCTTTGTTGGCTGGGTTCGTTTAGTGGAATGTGAGATGGATCCTCTCGGCTTTCAATGTCCGAGGTTTGGATTGGTGTTGAGGCGGGTGCCGTTTACCGGGCGGCGGCCGTGTTTTTTGATGAGGACCTGGGAGGGATGGTGGGCTTGCGGGCCGAAGATTCGGAGTCCGGCAGCGGCGGGGGAGGTTTTCAGTGCGCGTTTACGGGCGGTGGATCAGACACCTTGGGGGTGGTAATCCGGGAATGAGCGCGGAACCTCTGACAGATGGTGCACTTTGGGCTTCCCGAGAGAATTTCTTGGTTCGATTGACTTGAGATGCAGTGGTTTAGTTGAGAGATGAGCTGTGTTTTCCTGGCAGAATGGATGAGGCAATTCTTCGTTGGCGTCCGTCCTTGTGTGGAACGGCCCTGGAAGAAGGAAGGATCCTGACGTTTCCAAGCTGGCTTCTGGGCCGCCGCACCGTCCAATTTTCTCGACCAGTAAACCTGGGTTGTGCGCAGTGTCGATATTCATGCTGTTGCTAGCGTGCTATGCGTTGGAGAAACAGGAAAATATCCAAGACTTTTTGACTAGGTAGTATTGTCGAAGTTGGACGAGGCAAAAGAGTGATTGCATCGTTGACTTTAGCAGGTATTCGCGTTTGCCACGCGGGAGACTGCTGCTACGAGAACTGCAAACAAGCGAGAAACCATCTAACTCTTCGTTTGTCTCTTGACATGGCCAGGTTCAAGAGACATATCAAGCCTTACCTGCACCTATTTCTGCTCTATTTTTGTTTATTCATTTTGCCGGATTTCGTTTGACTGCGTCTTCAACGTCGAAATTCCATCTCATATGAACCCCGTTACGAGCCACCACGCTCTCCCGTCGCCAATCGCCACCACAACCAAACCCATCAGCTTTCCTCCCTTCGTCTCAACTTTCTTGCGTTCGTCCCCCGTTAGACTGCCCATTCATCTTACTTGCCCTTCAACTGCCCCCAACTGTTTGTCACTCAACACTGTCCGCAGCTCATCCTCCCCCACCGGGTAGGTGTGGTGAGTGCGACGACCCCACCGCAACCTCCGCCCCGGCCAGCCAGCCCCGCTGACCTACATGGGTTAGCTTGTCAGCCGAAGTTTCCATCGTTGGGCGTGTAGCTCAGTGGTAGAGCGTCCGCTTTGCATCTTCATTGCAACTTTGTCTGCGGAAGGTCCAGGTTTCGATCACCTGCCCGTCCAATTCTTTTGCCATTTTGACGCATTTTTCGTTTTTGTTGCATCTTCAGGCTTGATTTAAATTGCTTAGGAACGAATGACAATTCCATTTCTTTTGGCGAGTAGGGTGCGTATTTAATCGTTTTGTCCCGCCATTGCGGATCATCTCGAACTTGATGGTATGCGACTGGATGCGACAACCCATGACAAACTTTTGTATGGGATCTCGAACCAAGATCAAGACTTTTGTACTCTTTATTTTTTATTTTATTTTGACGTGGAATATGGCATAGCCTACTCCGTCCCGCAGATCTTCTCAAGACGATCTTTGAATAGAGCAACAATGCAAGCAGATGTGCCCGAGACTGCGTCTAACATTTGACAACGTCAGCTGACGGTATCGCTCCCTCCATCAGCTATGAAAGGCCCAAATTGGCACCACGGATGCCATCAGGGCGGGTTTGGTTTGCAGTGAAATCCCTCCACTCGGTTACAGTTAGCTCGGAGGCTATGGTCGTGGCTGATGCTAAGGAGGTGTCGCAAGCTTGAGGAGGTAAGAAGGCTCGGATTTCGCATCGCTCTTGTAGACTCATGGGCCAATGTAAACATCAAAATCTGGTCGGCACCTACTCGATTTATTGCGGCAGCCGCCATCGCTCCGACTCGAATCAGGAAGGAATCGTCAATCGACGAGAGTGATTGTTGCTTTCCTTGATGACAACTGCGACAGTTCATTTACGATGGAAGGATGCATGTTCAGGGTGCTAGTAGGTGACTTTTGTTGGCACAAAGGACACCAGAAAGTTGAGAACCTCAGTGTTGCCCATCCCAATTGCTCGATCGAAGACGATAGCAAACACCGTGAGCCGAGACAACGGCGACGACGACAACAATAGCAATTACACAGGAAAAGCAGTCGCTCCAACACAACGAAAAATAGGGGGTTTCCCAATATGGGGCCCGTTGCAGCAGAAACGATTCTGGGAGCCATGAAATTCCTGGTAGCTACGAGCAAGACTCCGGGCTGCGACCCCTTCGCCCAGCTTGAGTTTACTTCGCGGCTTGCAAAGATTAAGGAGTCGGGCAAGGACAATCAGCCAAACGGCACCCAGCATGACCGGTAGAAAGTTGGAGGCAGTAGAAGCCGGGTCCAGGTATTTGTGACGGGCGTGAGAGAGGCAGGTCCAAGAAGGCCTGATCACCACATGAGGAAACTGACTACGACATGTGCCTTCCACACTGAAAGCCAACGCTCTTGCTGTTGACTCTTCAGCCAGTCCAGCAGCTTGACAGACTTCCTCGACCAAGACCACACATCTTCAGTCCATCCGACTTCCATCACATCACACGTCCATCAACAAGAACTACCTCTTCTTTGTTTCTTGGATCCAGCAGAGATTGACTTCTTCACATCATACCGGCAAACATTTCCAACACTATTCGAAACACAGATAACTTGACGATCAACATGCAGACACTCGCCAGCGACCTGGAGTACGTCCTCCTCAATAAACTCGTGCCCTTCGAAGTAGACGAGGTATGGGGCATCGACGAGCATCCTTGATGACATGACTGACACATAGTAGGACGAGCTTCATGCACTCGTCGATGATACAGTCGTTCACGTAAACAAACTATTGGTAAGCAATCGGCTTCTACGTTCTTTCTCCGACCCCTTTGGTTATACTGTCATCACCATCGTTCGTCTACCTGGCCGTTGCCCTTAGCGAAAGACAGGACTTGCCGAAGTTTCTCATCATTAGAGGGCTTCCACATGTTTCTCTGCACCTGCAAGTCCATGCGCATCACCCCCTTCCCCTCGCTGTCATCACTCTCGTCTCTGTCGTCTCGCCCGACCTAGCTCTGTATATACTGACTCCCGAATGCAGTCTTGTTGCAAGACAGGGTCTCACGACGAGGCGAAAGCCTACGTGGATAATTTCTGCGATGAAATAGCCAGTGATTGGGACATGTGTCTGATGTCTGAAGAACCCATTGATAGATTGTGGCAAGCTGTGATCGAATCGATCATCAATTGGCTTTCTGAAGACGTTGATCTCAATACGTATAACGATACCAACCGGCGATATCTCGGGAACAGCATCATCGTACTGGTGGGTATGGTGTATGCCGACGCTTCTTACTACCGTCCTGGCCTTTCCACTTTCAAGACGGGGATAGCGCATGCCGACGCTTCTACCTCCCGTGCTGGCCCTTCCACTTCCGAGGCACCCGTACAAGATGCCGTATCAGACACCTCAGACGATGCAGACGTATTATCTTCGACTCATTCTAACTCTTCCGGGGCTCATTCTGACTGCACCGAGGACCAAAAGGGCAAGTTGCGCCGTACCGCTGACTACAAGGGCAAGCCGCGTTGGCTCTCTGGCAATGACAAAGAAAATGACGGTCAGACTACTCCTCAGAAGCGCAAGGCTGACGAGGTCTTCGACACGAACGACGACAAGATCGTCGGTTCTCCACGCAAGAAATCTTGGGAGCAGGACAGCATCGCTGAAACTGGATTCCTCGGCACTGCGGACGAGCCTGGACCTGATAAGGAGGCTGGCGAAGAAATGGACATGGACAAGGCAAAAAACTTTCCGTAGACTCAAACCGGTGAGTATACTTACTGAGAGACGTCATACAGTCACGCCCGCGACAAACCAGCATGTCTGAGTTGGATCAGAACATGGACTTCAAGTACGAGAAGCCAGAGATGGACGACGAGGAACAGGATGATTTGAAGACAGGTAAGACGCAGCTCACAATGTAGAGAAAGACACAGGTATTGACAAGACCACGCAGACAGACGCGGAGCAAGGGCTCTATCAAGCGCGGATGCTCAAATGACGAGGGACCCCTTTCGATTGCGAGTTCTGCGAGGTCAATCCCCCATGGAAAAGCCTGGCCGTACAATGGGACCCGATGAAGCAGACTAGGATGGAGACGTCGAATCCTCCAACTCAGATGGCGGAATTACGAATAGTGTGTGTTTCTTGGTGCCTGGAGTTTCTTTTGTTGCGGTCAGTCGGTTGGCGGGAGAAAAACATGATGTGATAGCATTGAAATTAGAATGGATTCGCGTCAACAACCTGATTATTCCTCATATTGCGAGCTTTACTTGTGAAGATCTGCAACGAGGATTATACTGGTAAATCCGCGGTGAATCCGGCAACTCAACGGAATGAGGCATCGCAGCACTGGCAATTGGCAAAGCCCGAGATGCTGGCTACATACTCAACGTGCAGAGCGAAAGGGAGGCGAGACGGGACTCAATATGGACGCGGACCATGTCGGAACGACAGTCAGCAATTATCGGGGCAGCCCCTCATTGCATTAGCGGGACGAAGCCAACCAGGGTGGGCCGCGCCCTTCGCAAAATCGCTACCCCTCGAACGATTCTCGAAGTTCACCACGACAGCACCACAAGCCCAAACCGACACAATGCCTCGAGATCCGCTGATCGGCCTGGTTGGCAAGCCGTCGGCAGGCAAGAGCACAACGCTCAACAGTCTCACAGACGCCTCATCAAAAGTTGGTCCGTAGCCCTTACCAAAAGCCCGCTCGACCGAGAAAAACCGACCACCCCACCATGCGACCTGGCCGCTGATGGAATTTTGTGAACAGGAAACTTCCCGTACGAGCCCTGCTTCTCCTCTGTCTCTTTCAGCACAACCTCTGCCGTTTTCATGCCGGTCGTTCATCACTCACCCGAACCTCCAGATTCACGACGATCGATCCCCAACGAGCCATCGGATACCTCCAAATAGACTGCGCCTGCGCCCGCCACAATGTTTCGGACCGCTGCAAGCCCAACTACGGCGCCTGTGTCGACGGCCGTCGCTCCGTGCCGATTGAGCTCCTCGACGTTGCGGGCCTCGTGCCCGGCGCCCACCAGGGTAAAGGCCTGGGCAACAAGTTCCTCGACGACCTGCGCCACGCCGATGCGCTGATACACGTCGTCGACGCCTCAGGCACCGTGGATGCCGAGGGCAAGGAGACGCGCGGGTACGACCCGTCGGTGGACATTGCCTGGCTGCGCGGCGAGATTGTGGCCTGGATCAAGGGCAACCTGATGGAGAAGTGGGGGAGCATCAGACGGCGTCACATGGCGATCAAGGCGACGGCGATCGAGACGCTGCAGGGCCAGTTCTCGGGATACGGCAGCACGGCCAACGTGGTCGCGCGCGCGCTGGACCGGCTGGGAATCAAGGAACCGCTCGAGGACTGGGACGAGGCGACGATCGACCGGGTTGTCAACGCCTTCACGGACGAGAAGTTCCCGACCGTCATCGCGCTCAACAAGATCGACCACCCGGACGCGGACAAGAACATCGCGAAGATTGCAAAGATGCAGGACCCCAACACAATCGTGCTGTGCTCGGCCATCTCGGAGATCTTCCTGCGCAAGATGGCGAAGCAGGGGTACATCAAGTACACGGAGGGCAGCGAGTTCGTGGACACGCGCGAGGACCTGATCGAGCAGGGCGACCCGAACGGCGGCGGGCTCAAGGAGCTGGACGAGAAGAACCGCAACCGGATAGAGAACCTCAAGGACATGGTGCTGTACCGGTTCGGGTCGACGGGAGTGGTGCAGGTGCTCAGCAAGGCGGCGGAGATCCTGGGGCTGGTGCCGGTGTTTCCCGTGCGCAACACCACGACGTTCCAGTCGGGCGCGAACGAGAGCAGGGTCGTGTTCAGGGACTGCGTGCTGGTCAAGAAGGGCACGACGGTGGGGGAGGCGGCGAGGAAGGTTATGGGAGATGCGCCGATTGCGTATATCGAGGGTGCTGGGGGTTTGAGGGTCGCTGAGGACGACCCTGTTGCGGTTGGGAAGAACGATGTAGGTGTTCCCCCATCGGCATGGGCTTCATGCTTCCGTGACCATGAGTTTGTTGCTAACACCTCACAGATTCTGTCGTTCAAGGTCGGAAGGGGTTGAGTGCAATGCGCCTAGGCAATTCCACGCGCGGATGTCTGCCTCCGTTTACCTGCCAGCCAGCCGATAGTGATCAGAATCT